TTATATTTAAAATTTTAAATAAATAATTTTTTTGATTATTTTTTCGGTTGACCGGATACTTTTTCGAGGGTAGTGTAATCTAAGATTTTTGTGCTATATTTTATTTGGATTATACTAATGATTATATTATTCATCATAAGTTAAACAATCAGTAAAAAAACTAACAATACTATTAAAAACAATGATACAATAAATCAATCTTTAAAGCTTTAATTAGATTCCATAGTAGTTTTGACACTACTACCAAAGAAATTATTGAATAAGACAAGTGAACTTCAATTGGATCCCATAGAAATTTCAGCATTACCACCAAAAAATTCTTTGACTAAGACAATTAAACTAATTGAATTTCAATTGGACTTCATAGAAGTTTTAGTATCACCACTAGAGAAATCATTAACCAAGAAAAATAAGATCAACCTATATAGGACCCTGAACTATACTAATATAACTCACATTTGAGTTTGCGTAGAGTTTATTACGAATTTACTTATCCTACATACCCTATTATCTCAATAACCAGTAATTCAATTTTAATGAATTTATACCATTGGATTCGTCTAACTTAGATGAATCTAATGGTAGTAATTTCATTTTTCTAGCATTAATATTGAAAGAGTTATACCATACAATATAATTTTAATTGTGTGTTTGTATTACATTTGTAAGTTCTATTAGTATAGTTCGGGGTTCTACCTACATACCTTGAAGATTAATCCCATTAAAAAAAGTCACATAATGATCCTTTATCCTTATCTAGTAAAGCTTCTGGATCAAAGGTAATGTCGAATAAATATTATGTTAACATATTTTAATTCATAACCAATTTGATTGACATTACATATATTGAACATTTTAGATAAAGTCCACCATAATATAGAATCATCATAAACTAATAATTGAAGAACAAGGGCTTAAGCGAAGGAATGATAATATTAGTGGAATATCAAAGTGTAAGATATTTAAAGAAATATTTGTTATTGTTATTTAATGATTAACTACTAACTTATTATCCTCTTATTATTTCTTTAAATAATTAGTATATAGTGCCTCAGCTTAATGAAAAAGATGCTATTATTCTAAATAAGGTTATGCAATATTCTCAGAAAGCATTTAAAGAAATACTTATAGTCAAGGAAACAATTATTCATATGGAAACCACTATAATTGAATTTATAAATGATCAAACTATATGATCCTCTGATGAACTCAAAATGGAATCTTCTATCAAAACTAAAAAGGATTCTAGATCTAGAAAATTTATGCAAAAAAATATATTCTAGTATAATGTAAGTATATTACCTTCAATTTATTTGTTTCAAGCCTTGATTTATTATATTAAGCAATTGTTTTGATTTCTTTCAAAAAGACAAAAATCCTTCTGATGATGATATGAGTAATGCTTTTAATGCTGCTTTAGTTGTAACCACACCTTGCTGAAATCGCTAAAGTTGAAAATGCTAAGAGTGGTTGGAACAAGTACTGGTCAAAAGTTCTTCAATCAACGGTAATTTGTTTCTTAACCTTATAATACAATATATTATTTATGACTTATTTTGAAATTTTTTTAATTAAATTAATGCTACTAACTATATATCAAGTCTGATTATTCAGAAAACTTATTGAATTACTAATGTTAATAATAATAATTAGGGTTCTGCAATTCGATTTGATCTTTGAATATTTGATTCGATTAAATTCAAATCAAAGAATGATTTATTTGATCAAATCTAAATTAATGTTTGATTCAATTTGATTTGAATCAATAGTAAAGCTATCTCCAAAGCTTTAGGAGCGGCTCTTACTAAGAAAATTATAGTAAAAAGTGACTCTATAGTTTCGGAAATGCCTTTTTACTAAGAAAACTATAGCAAAAAGTGCTTCCGCAGTTTCAGAAATGCTTTTTACTAAAATAACCATAGAAAAAAGTGCTTTCACAGCTTCAGAAAAGCCTTTTTTACTAAGAAAAATATAGCAAAAAATGGCTTCGCAGCTTCAGAAATGCTTTTTTACTAAGAAAAATATAGTAAAAAATGCCTTTACAGCTTCAGAGACATTTTTTACTAAGAAACTTACTAAAAAAATGTGTCTGCGGCTTCAGAAACATTTTTTTACTAATAAATTGTTACGAAGCCAAAATGGCAATTATTACTAAGTTTTCTTAGTAAAACTGAAGCTGCGATAGCAGTTATTACTAAGTTTTCTTAGTAACTGAAGCTGTGATGACGGTTTTCTTAGTAAAACTGAAACTGCGAAGTTATTTTACTAAGTTTAATAGTAAAAATTCACCTGTTACTAATCTTACTTTGTAAAAGCTATCTTTGAAATTTTTTAGTACAATTACTAATAATTTTCTTAATTAAAACTTTAGAATAATTTTATTTTAATATATCATTTTAAAAATTAAAAAATTTTATATTTGATTTGATTTGATTTGATTTGAAAATATTTGATTCAATTTGATTCGATTCGATCAAATTCAAATCAATTCCAATTGATTCATCAAATATTTGAGTTCAATTCAATTCAATTCAATTCAATTTAAAAAAATCAAATCAAATTCAAATTGCTTAAATATTTAATTTGATTCGATTTTGAGGAACTCTAATAATAATATCTATTATAGGCACATTATGAATTTAGTGTTAGAGTTAAGCGTGTTAGTTATGTTTGAAATATCAAAAATGCAGTTACTAGTATTTTTAGTAATGTTTTTATTGTGAATTATCCTAGGCACAAAGCAACAACTGACGAAATTTTAGCTTGGAAAACTTCAGAAAATGCAAAATAGGCAAATGATCATCTTTGAAGTCAAGTAGATCTGGATAGTAATGATTTACATGATACTTATATGAATCGTATTATTAATGAAGTGCTGAAAGTAAGTATTTTGAAAAAATATATAATCGTAAAGATATAAACTAATAATAAAACCAATAACTTGATAATTGATTTGAGGATTATCAGATGAGAAAATAAATTTATAAGGATTGTTATGAAAATTTTTTGATTGGTATAAGACAGTGATGGGTTTTGGACATGTTTTTTTAGTTTTAGACAAGGTTTTGGACATATGAAATTGTGTCCAAAACCTGTCCAAAACTACCTAAAATTGTCCAATTTCCCAACATTGGTATAAGACCTGTGTAAAAATGAGGTAAGTTTCGCTTAAGCCTAAAATGTCTAAATTATATGAAGTGAAAAATTGTTTGATTTGTGTCATTTTATTATTGGATACATAACTTCTAACATTTTAGGTAAAATGGAAAAAAAATTTGGATCATTAAAATGAAAATAAAAATTGTTATTTGCTAAGATTTTTTCATTGTTAATAAAGTAAACTTTTTGAATACCAATATTATTAAAATGTTGATGTGAACTCATAAATCAATAGGTGAAAGAGTTTGAGTAAGAGAGCGTAAAGTGGATGAAATTAAATGGATTTCAGATTTAATGTCATTAACTGAAGATTCAACTGAGTCAATTCGTTGTAAATGATTTGTTTGAGGATTGGAAACATCAGTTAAAATTGGAGAGAAAGATAAAATATCATTATTTTCAATTTGAATAGAAGGGTAATTGGAGTTGTTTCTATTTTTTCTTTACCATTGTGAAGTAGAAATTTATATTTTGGATCATTAATCTGTTTAGAGTCATGTTCAATATAATACATATATTTAAGTCAGTGTAAACGAAAGTTAATGTTTTTTTAGTTTTGTTTGTGTTTTATAGAGTTTTTAAGAGAGACTATTTTATCATCAAATTTTCATTTAATTTGAATTACTAGAAGCTGAGATATAACAATATATAAATAATTTTAATTGTAAATTTTAG